GATTGTTTACTTTACCTGGCCGACCACGTGCTCCCGCCCAGCTGACTCTGATGATCAGCTGTTGTGTGTTTACGTAGAGAGAGAGAGAGAGTGTGAATGAATGTTTTTGTCGAGTTTACACACACACACACACACCTGTATGTAAACTCTCTAATGACCTCCCACTTCCGGTAACCTGACTCAACTAACCCTTCATCTTGACCTTTGCAGAGTGTGACCTCGGCCGTAGCGAGTTTAGGGGTCAATGGTGACTCGATAACCTTCCCCCAGTTCTGTGAGGTCGTGGCTACCATACTCACCTCCCATGGTAAGTACACCCTCTACCATACTCACCTCCCATGGTAAGTACACCCTCTACCATACTCACCTCCCATGGTAAGTACACCCTCTACCATACTCACCTCCCATGGTAAGTACACCCTCTACCATACTGTACTCACCTCCCATGGTAAGTACACCTCCTACCGCTCACCTTCACTTAGTAGAAACCACACCCTACTATCACTGTACTCACACCTCCCATGGTGATACACCCTCTCTCCATGGTAAGTACACCCTCTACCATACTCACCTCCCATGGTAAGTACACCCTCTACCATACTCACCTCCCATGGTAAGTACACCCTCTACCATACTCACCTCCCATGGTAAGTACACCCTCTACCATACTGTACTCACCTCCCATGGTATATTACAGGTAGGTATTACAGGTGAATATTACAGGTAAATTTATGAACCTGTGTGTAGTCTTTCAGTGAACAGGTAATACTTTTGAGTAATATTAAGACGTACAGGTAATACTTTTGAGTAATATTAAGACGTACAGGTAATACTTTTGAGTAATATTCAGACGTACAGGTAATACTTTTGAGTAATATTAAGACGTACAGGTAATACTTTTGAGTAATATTAAGACGTACAGGTAATACTTTTGAGTAATATTCAGACGTACAGGTAATACTTTTGAGTAATATTAAGACGTACAGGTAATACTTTTTAGTAATATTAAGACGTACAGGTAATACTTTTGAGTAATATTAAGACGTACAGGTAATACTTTTGAGTAATATTCAGACGTACAGGTAATACTTTTGAATAATATTAAGACGTACAGGTAATACTTTTGAGTAATATTAAGACGTACAGGTAATACTTTTGAGTAATATTAAGACGTACAGGTAATACTTTTGAGTAATATTAAGACGTACAGGTAATACTTTTGAGTAATATTCAGACGTACAGGTAATACTTTTGAGTAATATTAAGACGTACAGGTAATACTTTTGAGTAATATTAAGACGTACAGGTAATACTTTTGAGTAATATTAAGACGTACAGGTAATACTTTTGAGTAATATTAAGACGTACAGGTAATACTTTTGAGTAATATTAAGACGTACAGGTAATACTTTTGAGTAATATTGAGACGTACAGGTAATACTTTTGAGTAATATTAAGACGTACAGGTAATACTTTTGAGTAATATTAAGACGTACAGGTAATACTTTTGAGTAATATTAAGACGTACAGGTAATACTTTTGAGTAATATTCAGACGAACAGGTAATACTTTTGAGTAATATTAAGACGTACAGGTAATACTTTTGAGTAATATTAAGACGTACAGGTAATACTTTTGAGTAATATTAAGACGTACAGGTAATACTTTTGAGTAATATTAGACGTACAGGTAATACTTTTGAGTAATATTAAGACGTACAGGTAATACTTTTGAGTAATATTAAGACGTACAGGTAATACTTTTGAGTAATATTAAGACGTACAGGTAATACTTTTGAGTAATATTAAGACGTACAGGTAATACTTTTGAGTAATATTAAGACGTACAGGTAATACTTTTGAGTAATATTAAGACGTACAGGTAATACTTTTGAGTAATATTAAGACGTACAGGTAATACTTTTGAGTAATATTGAGACGTACAGGTAATACTTTTGAGTAATATTAAGACGTACAGGTAATACTTTTGAGTAATATAAAACAGTAATACTTTTGAGTAATATAAGAGTAATATTTTTGAGTAATATCTTGGTAATATAAATCCACAGTCGCCCTCATACTTGACAACCTCGAGGATCACCTTGGAGTATGAGTGAGTGTAACTTTACCTCTCATTTGTCTTAGTGTTCCCACGATAATTTACATCACCTGGAGATTAGACACCCATATTTCACCTGGTGACTTACCGCTTATTGGGTTGGTTTGGTTTAGAGTAGGGTAGATTAGGTTAGGTTTGGTTAGGTTAAGTTAGGTTAGGTTACATTTGGTTAGGTTAGGTTACATTAGGGGGAAATTTTGGGGTATGGAATGTGGAACGAGGTTGTGTGAAGGTATTGGTGGGGGGGGGAGTGAGGTGTGGAGGGTGTTTATGGGGGTGGGGAAGGAGTCCTTGATGTGGGGGTGGAGGAAAGTAGGAGAGTTTTGTCAGGGGGATCGTCTCTCTCTCTCTCTCTCTCTCAGATATAGGATATGTTACAATGTTAAAGGAGATGGCATGTGGTGAGGGAAAGAGGCAGGTAGTGAGGGAAGGAAGGAGGGAGGGAGTCAGCTGGTCACCTTGTAATTAACTATTTACTCGAGGGAAAGTGAGAGAACTGGTTCAATGACGAGAGAGAGAGAGAGTACGGCGATTTAATAACTATTCACATCAGACGAGGTCATCTAAGGTCAAGTGAAGAAGTAAACCGTAATTGGCTACAAGGAAAGTCAGTCAGGTCAGTTTCCGCCTAGACAGCTGACTTTGGTGTTAGGGGTCAGCCAAGGTCATCTCCGAGAGGTCATCGATAACCAGAGTGACAGGACACGTGGCACTCTGACCTGACCTAACTTAGCCACATGACCCAACGGTGTGACCTTTGACCCAGTGGGGGAATGACACCCCTCTTTAAGTGAAAATGGATACTACTTAGATAGGAAGATTGACAGACAGACAGACAGAGAGGTAAACATAGACAGACAGACAGACAAAGCCATCATACAAGTTCACAGTGATTCGGCATGTATTGTACACGTAGACAATACAGGTATACAGTGTACCAAGACAGTGCAGGTATACAAACAATGGTAAACAGTGAGGCAGGTCGACCAAGGACAGCTAACAAAGCCACCAGGCGGTTATTTCCAGTAGCGAGGGTCCTGTACTTCACCTGGAGGGGGGGGTCAGTAACAGCTAATTAAAAACAATAACCGTAAACAACTGTAGTCGACAGTAAGGAAAATTAATTAGTTTCATATATTAGAGAAAATGAGGTAGTTTGGTTATTTATTTTTTATATACAACACTGTCTATGCGCTGTTAAGTGAGTGTGAAGTTCAAGGGCTGGAGCCACACCTCATGGTTCACCGGTACAAGCTTTCAGTCTTTGTAGAATAGATTTTTTCTCCATAAAAGTCTTTGAGTTTTTTTTACACATTATTCCGTAGCCTGTACGTCTGTCCTGGCCCACAGTGTGTGTTGCTAGTACTGTGGTCAGTTTATAGTAGGAAACATAATTCGATATTGTTCTTATTCTAATGATATGTTGAGACAAACACGAGATTATTTTCGTCTATGACACTTTTGACGCATTTTACCCATAATCAATATATACTAGAAACGCTATTGTTGTATTTGTTTTCACTAACAGGATCCCGGGATATTTTTCTTTGCAAACAATTGTTTAGACAAATGGCAAGTGTTAATGAATGTCTTAGGTCAGTTGTCGCTATAAACCGACTTGGGATGGTAAGAGAAAATGTATAGACGTGTGAGGGTAACTAAAGAATATATAACTCTTACCTACGACCGTTCTTTTATTTACATTATATCTAGGAAAAGATGCATTAAAATATTATTATTATTGCTAGTGCATCAGTAACATTAAATGAAGCTTTTGAGGAAGTGTTTTTAATTATTATATCCTAATTTATTATTGAGTCTTAAATTCAATCACCAACACGCAACATGGTTTAAAAACAGTACAATTCTTCTGTTATTTTTTTATTCCATGTTTAAGATACAACGGAAATTATTTAAGTAGAGTAAGTACCTTTCTAAAGATGGTTAAGTATCATAACGTCTATTTTAAGCGTTGGCGGTAAACAAGGGAGGGGGGGGGGTCAGGGAAAGTTGCCGTTGTTGCCCATAGGTGTCGCCGGGGCTGGCAGTCACCCCAACCAGACCTGAGACCTTAGACGGCGGCGTTCAAATCTCCTCGCTTGTTTTATCAGTTTTACCGTATATTTAGGTGCTTTGGAGAACCCGTACGTGGAGATAATAGTGTTAATCATCCGTGGATACGATTACGTGGCGTGGAATTGACGTTAAGTTGTAAATAAGTTATAAATTAGACCGATAAGTTTTAACTCTCCTCTCTACCTCAATCCTTGGGAACAACAGCTGATCGCCAGGTAAGACCCGAGTACACCTTGATCATTTCTTAATTAACATGGCCGTCTTGAGATGTACTAGTAAATTATTATTATTTTCCCCAATTAGTAGTTCATTTTTATCTAATACACGAAGGGAAAGAGATATAGCATTGGTTAATATGAACTAGTGAGTGGAATTATTAAAGGGTCGTAACCTAATTGTAGTTGCTCGTTTGACAATGAAAAAATAAATTAAGTTTCTTTCGTTTTTTTTTTAAATCAACTCGCCAAAAGTTTTATTGATATAGATTTTTAGGCCTTTTAAATACTTTATTCAAATTTAGCGAACCATTTAATTTTTCTCGTTATGTTAGAGTTAGGGATTACTTAAAGACTAACCTTCAAATTAATTCACCGGAAGATTAAGCTGTGTAAGGTTAATGTTAGGGTGGTTAATCTTAAGGTGAAATAAGCTTGGGTGTCTAATCTTCAGGTGATCCGTGAAGCTTACTTGGTAATTGGCTGTTTTGTGTTCATTATATTATAGGTTTATTGGTTTGTATTTAATTAGTCCCAGGTTAGCATTTAAGGTAGTTGGGATCACCTGAAGAATCGCCACCCCAACGGTAT